CCGGTGCAGCAGAGGAAGAAGCAGATAGTGAGCAGGAAAAGTGGGATGGAGCGTCTGCCAAGTCTGCTGAGATTCATTGATGGCGTTCTCACACGTGCTTATCTTTCAGAGCAGAAACCTGGCAACACAACACAGATTCACACACTGTTAATACTGGCTGAAGTTCCTGAGGTACTTTTATTATGTTTTATTTTTTTTGACGAATACCTCAGTTCCATCAGGAAGAAACATTTACTTCTGCTTCTTAGTTTCCATATCCTCAATGTAATCCAAAGAGGAAACTTGACCATCAGATCTTTTCTTTTGTCAGAAATCAAGCACAAAGTCTTTGCTCAGCAGTTTTTAGTTCTACATTGGGAAAAACAGGCGGTTAAATTCTGTGACAACTGCTTTTTTTTATTCACTAAACATAATTAAAAAGAAAGAATATCATTGTTTAGTAATGCTGTCTATCCTGACCTTTTCTTTATATTAAATATGATAAACTCTGCCAAACTGTGAAAAGTATATTCTATTCAACATATTTATAATTATTAACATTGTGAAATGAAAAGATCAAATCACTCGTTTAACTGTTACTGATGTCAATTCTGTGGTTACTGTGAAGCCAACAAGAGCTGATGCTAATTAAGAAGGTGAATCATGTAATAATAATTTTGCTGTGAGTCAGTCTGTGTTTGAATCTCAGGTGGTTGAAGAGATCTGTTGTGATGCAGCACATGGCATACGACACATACGACGACGCTGCTGCTCCTCTTTGTCTCCCATGTCCTCCTCCTCCTCCTCCTCTTCCTCCTCCTCCTCCTCCTCCTGCTGCTGCTGCTCCTCTTTCTGTACTGGTGTCACTTTTTAAAACACATGCACAGGAACACACCCTTGAGTTTAACCTTCAGAAAGGGTAGAAATGTGTGAGAGCAAATCATTCTGGATGAAAGCCAAGCTAAGAGGCTACCTGCTGAGAACACGGGTCAAAATTAACATTTGAATAAGCTGGTGTTTTCAGTGAGGTTGTTTTTGTGTTGGATTGATGAAGTTCACGGCCTTATCCATACCACGCACTCTGATTCACTCACTTCTCAGACATCATTATCACGGAGCTTAACCGTTAACACTCATCAGACAGAACAGAGAGAGAGCGGTGCCACTGGAGTTCCTGTACACACCCATAGACATGTGATGACACACACACACACTTAAGCTAAACATTTACATCATCCACACACTTACTCTCATGACATTAGGAATTTGACCAGAGGACACACATATATTAGTTAGTCAGTATATTAGTTAAATGAATATAGTTGTGGGTCCACATTTGAACTAATGATTTTTTTCTCTCACAAACAGTTTTATATTAGTGTTTTTTTTTTAATCAGGGCAGAGAGAGGATCATGATCATCACATCCAGGAAGTGTGTGTTTCACCAGGTGTGAGAAGAAGTCCTCAGCACCGTCCATACGTCTGTAATCAGATCACTTGGGACAGATGTTAATGCCCGATCTGAACGGGGCCAGAGCAGCACTTAGTTTTTCTGCCAATAAACCTCAAAGGAAAGCACTTAAAGCCCATTATTAACCCCTCACAGGCCAGAGCAGGGCAGAGCAGGGCAGGGCAGGGGTGAGGGCTCTGTTCTTCGTTCTTCTTCATTCCAGGATGATCCGTTTGATGATCCACCTTTTCTTAGTCCTGCACCACCGTTTGTCCACTCCCTCATTGGCAACTTTCCACGTAGACAGCAGCTACGGTGTCTGGATGGACCGAGCTGAATAAAGAAATTACACAGGCGTTGCCAGAGCTCTGTGTTTGTGTTCGGTGTTACGTACTAACAGGGTTGTGTTTGTAGTGTTTGTGAAAGGTCGAGGTCGAGCCTGTGTGGACAAGTTTGAACCGACTTTTGCCAACTTTAGGTAAAGATTAATAAACAGAAGAACATGATTTCAGGAAATCTAATTTCAATTTGTCTCAAATATTTATATGGTAGATCAGGAAAATATTTATATGGTAGACACTCCTGGGTCTGTGTCAGGGTCAGATGGATGGAGCATCTGTATATACTAAAACAAATGACATCTAAGTCATAAAGGCTAAAATGCTTTAAGCCTTTTCTACGCCATCTATTGGAGAAATGTGGGCATTGCAGAGGAAAGGGAGTAAAGTACAGTATAATAATAATACAAATTAATTAATTAATTAATAACCTAATTTGGCCAAGTTTGACGTTAAGTCTAAATTAAAAAGCCAAACCCTGGGCTGTAGTTTGCCCAGGCCTGGTCTGACCAAACAGTAAAGTAAACCTCTCTTAGTCTCCACAGCCTTGACAACGTCATGTAGCTGCTAGTTGTTGGTTATAAAAACATCCGATTACTATGACTTTTCTTGCAAAGTGTATTTCAGTCTGAATGTTTCGTGTTAGATTCCTGGACATGCTGTGGTTCTGACAATGAAACTGAAACACCGGCCAGTTCAGTGTTGGAGGTTTCGTGGCTAAATTTGACGAGGCTGGTGGCCAATCTTCACTGATTGCACCAGTGAGAGCAGAGTGTGAGAGTTCAATTAGCAGAGTAAAGGCACAGTTACACAACATCATGGGTGACATATCAGAGTTCAAAAGAGGACGAATTGTTGGTGCACGTCTGTGACCAAGTCTTTGTGATGTAACAATTGTTAATTAGCGTTTATGAAACAATTCATCAATAACTTTAACTGATTTATGTAATTCTTCTAAATTCTTAAATCTTAATGGACTTAATTTAAATATTGTTGGAATTAAGTTTTGTCCTAAAATGAATCTGTTGGTCTAACAAAAGTAACTTCTGTGTGTTATCAGTCTGTTGGTCTAACAAAAGTAACTTCTGTTCTGTTATCAGTATCAATAGGCACATGTGTATAACAAAACATTTCATCTTATTAAATACAGTTTTATCACTAAGACACTAGATTAACGTCACACCTCACTACAACACACTGTGAACCTGATGATTTTGAAGAACTGTTTTCATTATTTCTGTCTCACAGGATCTAGTCTGGACTTTTGTAAAGTTTACGTCATGTCTTGTGTACGTGGTCCTCATCTGTAGCATTGTCTCCGTTTGTTTGCTCTTCCTGTGGGCAGGAAACTGTCACCATCACTACGTACTTTGTTATTTCTGGCTATGATGTTGCTGTGTTTTGTTTTTTTGTTGCAGCTAAAAATATACCCTTACCTTCTTCTGCCTGATGTTTGATTTAGTTATGTTGTATTTTACAATCGTACTTTGAGACGGAGATAGCCGTGGTCTGAGTGTGGGGACATGTGAGCAGTGTCACACCATGTGATGAGTGTCTACATCTTACGTGTGTTTGTGGTCCAGGGTCACCTCAGTCCCAGCTGTCCTGGAGGACGGAGGGGGGGGGGCTGCGGGAATGGAATACCCCTCTGCCTTACAAATGCCCCCTGTGCTCAGGCAAACAGAAAAGCTGCAGTATTCTCCACACATGCACAGGTGGTGCCCTTGGACAGCAGACACACACACACACACACACACACACGATGAGGCAGAGGGCCAGGCACACGACATACCCCACGCAGACCAATTGCCCCTTCAATCAAACACATTAGCACAAGAGGTTTGTCCTCAGTCGAGTTCCGCAGCATCGTTAGGGTTAATTATATGAATTCAACAAGCGAGAGATCGAGGAAACCTCGTCAGCTCCCCCCGATGACACTAACTTTCTGTTTGTATCTTGTGATTTGTCGTGACGGTCTGTCCACACTGCACGACTTCTTCTACATTTCAGTTTTTGTTTTTTGGAGATTGATTTATTTGCACGGTTGTTGGTGTTAAAGTTTAAATGCGGCTGGACGGTCTACAGTTCACAGACGTTTGGATGCTGCCCAGGTCAGTGGAGTGTATCAGTCTGGACGTTGTTGTTTAATCAGAGTTAGGGAGGTCACACACTCAGCTCTGGTTTTCCTAAAGCCATGTGACATCCGGAGGGTGAGCAAATGTTTTTGTCAGTTTTATATCACCACTGACACTGTGTCTGTGGTCTTATTTTCATTCATTATTTACATTTTCATTGCTACCTCCAGCACAGAATTTTGCTGATAAATGGGCCAATGTGGGACACTGCGGCCTGAGCAGGTCTGAATCTACGTCCTCATTACAATAAAAACATTCTGGAGGAGGCAGGTCAGTGTGTGTGTCAGTGTGTGTGTCTGTGTGTCTGTGTGTGTGTGTGTTGTGGAGGAGCAGCCATGGCAGTTGGCTCATCCTGACATCAGCAGTTGCAGTTCTTCTCAGTCACAGAGGTGGTGGTGGTGGTGGGGGGGGGTAGTGGGGGTCAACAGTACCTCTCTTCTCTCCAGGGAACGAGACCGACCATCTGCTGCTGCTGACCACACTGCTGCAGCAAACCTCACACACACACACACTTTACAGCACACATGCAGCACCGCGTCACATTCAGCTCAACTTTCCCCCATTCTATACTTCATGCCCTCCCCCCAACCTACCTCTGTATCTACATGCCCCCCCTCTTTTACCACACACCCCTTCCATTCACTCTCCATGCCCTGTTGTGTCAGCCCTCAGTCATGTGTGCTGCTCTCTCCAGATGGACCGTGGAAGTCTTTACTTCTGTAGGCCACATCAAAGCTGAGAGGGAGTTCTTAGCAGGAGGTTTTGTTGTAACTTGCAGCAAACCTGAGGTTTGATTCAAGGTCGATGTGGAGGAGGGGGGGTGGGGTTTATGTTGGAGATGGTTTAGAACACGAGCTGCAGCTTCTTGTCCTCTGCCAGGAGAACATCTATCTGAGCTTCCTCAACTTTTTTTTTTTTCTCCAACGACTTAGTTCTAAGTGAGGCTTAAGATCGGCCTCTTCTTGGCTACTGAACAGTTCACTGACTTAATCCACTCAGAAGATGTACTGGGAGCTGTGGCTGAGCCAGGTCACAGCCACTGCTGCGCTGCAGTGCATGCTGGTCCAGAACAAAGGTGAGCCAGTTTTGCGTGTGCGTGTCATGGCAGGGTGGGTAAAATTTAGAGCTCAGTTGTTTGGTTTTTTAGTTAAAAGTATTTAGAAATGTTTTTGTCTTTACCAAAAAAAATACAAAATCAATCCCTGCCGTAACATCGCCTCCTTCATCAAAGTCATCCTGACTTATATATACGCTTAAGACAAGTAAGATCTTTTTCCACCCGCTGTGACGTTAGTGCAACATCCAACCATGTAGAATTGAACCATCCAGTAACAAAGGCAGAGGCTACAGCACAGGCAGCTCGATCTGTGGCTAATAATTCATTAGTTTTAATCACACAAAGAGTTTACATGACATCAATATATAAAACATAGTGTTCTCAAAAAAGCAAATACAGATTGAATGGGTTTTTTTTTTCTTGTGCGTACGTTTGACTGAAGCCGATGTTTCTCTGTGACCAGTGTTGCTCTTCAACTAGGAAGGTAATGTCAGCTCTGTGGTGGCGTCATGAGTGCAACATTGAATTGACTTATTCTTGGAAGTCTGTCGTGGATGTCAGTTTGAAATATTAACCTCAGTTTATCTCTGTCTGTGATTGTTCATTCATCAGCTGAGTAACGCTGTTGGTCATTATTTGGGTTATGTTGAACTCTTGTTGTTGTTGTTGTTGTGCGTTTTATATAAAATGTGATGGAATATATGATCCTTTTTATGGTGTCATTTGAATTTGTGTTAAAGAAGAGAACATCTGTGTCAGAATGCTCTGTTATGAACCAAGTACATTATATTTTTAACTGAAGAATAACCATTTTTATAGGACTTGGTTTAAACAGGTAATGACGTGATTCATTCTGAGCTAAGTTGTTCTTTGCTGCTTGTTTTCTTTTTTGTCTTTTGGTCAGTGTGTATGGGAGTCTTTTTCCACACTGGTTCCAGTCCCTTCTTGTTGTGCTCTGTGTCGCCCAGGCTGCCAATTATTTCTTAGTGCTGATCTGGGACAGATGGAAGGATTTAGTCTGAAAGGCAGTGTGATGGAGAGACCCTTATTTCTTTTTCCTTTTTTTTTTTTTGATAGCGCCATCCTGTAAAAACAAGTCTACAGAAATGCCTCGTTGGCTCAGTCCTTGAATTCTCTGCATACTTTTTATTGAGCTGGTTTTGTTTTGATAACGTAACATTTAAAGTGCACATGTTCCTCCTACGTGTCGGTCACTGTCCCTGTCTCCATCGTCAGTCTTATCTGCAGTTTGTTCCCCAGCTGTTCAGACTTGCTTTGACTCCTCCAGCAGCTGCTGAGTGTGGAAGCGTGTACAAACACATACGTCTGTGTGTCTGTCAGCATGTGTGTCCCGCAGCCATGGTAATGAATCTGTGTGTGTCCTTCGTTGGGAGAGTCTTTCCTGTCCTGCCGCTGTTGTGGCTCCTCCCTCCTGCACACCTTATAAACACACACCTACAAACGTGTGTTCACTTCTTATCTTGTACAGTTTGTGGCTGTGTGTGTGTGTGTGTGTGTAGTCAGCGATAGCAGTTTTTCTCAGCGAGTAGACGGAACAAAGTGATGCTTTTGAGGTGCCTGCAGGCGAGCAGCAGCTTTGAAGAAGAATGGGCCGCTCTGAGCAGCTGTCAGTCTCGTCAAACAGGGCTCAGGCAAGAAAGTACATTTGGAAACACAGGTAGTAAACTGTACGGATGTTGATGTGAAGAACTGGACACTGTTTACTGGACATCAGTCCCCAAACACAGAGTCTGGGCTCATCATTTTGTTTTATTTATTTTTTGTCGATGAGTTTCATAGAAAAAGCTTCTTTCTTCCTAACAATTGTTTCTCCTCTTCTGCCAGAAGCTCTTCACCGACCCTTCGGCCTGGACTCTGCAGCACTGACGGAGGCAGTGCGCTGGAGCTCCAAGGAGAACCTGCTCGGAGCAGCTGAGAGCGACCCCAACCTCTTTGTTGCACTTTATGACTTTGTTGCCAGCGGAGACAACACCCTCAGCATAACCAAAGGTAAATATTTAATGACTGAAAATGATGAAGGCAGCAGTAGAATAGTTGGCCACTGCTCAACAGCAATAAATTGAGATTTTACAAAAGAAAAAAAAAAGGTGCTGTTGTGTTTATCACGTTCTTCGATGACCTGTCTTTAAGCTCTTTGTTTTATGTGATGTCACTCCAGAAACTATTTTTCCACATTGCACAACTTCTTTAGAAACGCTGGTACATGTGACGTGTGGCAACACATCAATGTTTCTCTAAAATGAGTCATGTGTAATGTCCTTAGGGCTCGGTCAGTGATTGGCAGGTCAGTAACACCCTCAGTGACGGTGTAGGTTTCAGTGTACCATAGGAATTCTGTGTGTCAACGGGCCTTACCTAACTGAAAACATTTTTGTGACATGAGTGCAGTAGGTATCTACTGAAATTATACGTGTGACAGTGTGACAAGTACCTGCAGGGCTGAGATATTTCAGTTGGCCTAAGAACACACTGTGAAGAGATGGTTAAGGATGTGAAATGGTTTTCAGAAAATAAGGTTATTTATATAAGTATATATAATATAACCTTATTTTCTGAAAAACATTTAGAGTTATCAATTCATGCAGACAAATTTTTAAATTTATGAAACAATTCAGTTGTTTTAAAAAAAACAATTTTAATCAAAATAACTGAAAGTTTTACGTCTTAATGAGTTAGATAAAACATTTCAAAACATTCATCAGGTCATGAGCAGTTGTTTTAAAAAAAACAATTTTAATCTAAATAACTGAAAGTTTTGTGTGTTAATGAGTTAGATAAAACATTCATCAGGTCATGAGGACAAAAACTGAAGACACAGACATGTATAGACTTTTTATAATGCTTGAAAAAAAGTGCTTTCATTTTGACCCAGGATGGTGTGTACGTCTGCCTTTAACACATTTGGTTAAAGGGTTCTAGCCAATAAGCTGTCTCATAAGCAAAGAGCTAAAAATAGCCTTATTAAATCACCCAGAGACAGACAGACTCGTGTCCTCAACTGGTGCAAAACTTTTAATGTGGCTCGTGTTAATTATCCCTCATTTTAAGTCCTCATGGCGGCCGCCTGCAGTGGAAATGATGTTAGACCCTGACTCATGGAGGAGATCTGAGGTTCTTGTCCACGTCTGCACTCCCAGCCTCCACTGCAGTTTTCCCATCTGCCCCTCTTCTTTTCTGTCTCACATGGAAACAACCCAACATGCATTAACACGTAGTTTCTTCGGCTGAAATAACAACAGGTGGATGGATGTGCTCAGCAGGGGGCGCTAGGGCTGTAGAGGTTTCGGGCTCTCATCTGGGGTTAATAATCATCTGGCAGAAGCAGGTTAGGTGAGGCCAGAGCGAAGCCCCGCTTCAGACACACGTGGCTGTCAGTGTAGAGAAGCACGGAGTCAGTGTTTCCACTCCCACCAGACCTCCAGGCACAGAGGACAGACACAGCGGAGACTGGTGGATTGGTGGGCTGGATGTGGATAACCATCTTTGTTTAATGTAGTTCTGTGGGTTGTTAGCAAACCTGGCGTAGTGTTTGGATTTTTATTAGTTCAAACAGCAACTCAAACAGTGGTTACATGTAGGTGGGCCAGGACGGGAGTAAGGACTGATGCTAACCTTTAGTCACACGCTAATAGCTTAAGTCATTTGTTTCCAGAAAACACGGCTGATGAGCAGCTTTTTGCAACAACAAATACCTGAGTTTAATATCCTTAATAATGTAGCGTTGCGGGTTTCTTTGTTTTCATTATAACAATAATGTACTGTTGGCTTTTATACCAAAAAAGATGTATAGACTGAGGATAAGGTTATAAACCCCGTAGGAACGTTTCCTTAGTCACCGCTCTGCCTCGTCTCCTCTTCTCCTCCCTGTAATTAAAGGACTAATCACTCCTCCGTTCACTGTTTGTTTTTTGATGGGTCGCTCCTTCTTTTGCGTCTCCAACACATCAGCCTCTCCCTACCGTTCCTTCTCCCTCGCTTACGTCAAAGACGGAGGCCAAGTTGCTGCTTGCCGGATTTTCTGAGCCTCTAATGACAGATAGTTGGTTCAACCTAGTTTGTAAAAGTTCCATAGCTTTTGATTTACCCTCAGCCGCAGGCCGATTAGGTCATTTGGCTTAGTGATGCTTCGATTGATTTGAAACAACATCATCATCATTGATCATGTGATCTAATATCAAGTGTATCTGTATGTGTGTCCAGGGGAGAAGCTGCGTGTGCTCGGCTACAACCAGAATGGAGAGTGGAGCGAGGTACGCTCTAAAAACGGTCAGGGGTGGGTACCCTCCAACTACATCACCCCGGTCAACAGCCTGGAGAAGCACAGCTGGTACCACGGGCCCGTGTCCCGCAGTGCAGCAGAGTACCTGCTCTCCTCCCTCATCAACGGGAGTTTTCTAGTTCGAGAGAGTGAGAGCAGCCCCGGACAGCTGTCAATATCTCTGCGCTATGAAGGGAGAGTCTATCACTACAGGATTAATACAGCCTCTGACGGCAAGGTAATTTTTTAATTCTGCATTTTTGTATTTGGCACTGAATAGTTCACAGGAAATCAGAACATGATGGCAGAGTCATGTGATGCCACCCTCTGCTCAGCGCTGCTCTAAGATTACACTCAGTTACAGTCAGATGTCCAGCTGCTCAGCTCTTCTAGTCTTCTGTCTTACAAGATCAACCCCTAAATGTAAATGTCCTGTAGAGGGATGTCCGTGCTCTGGTAAAACAGGGTTGATATTTCATTTCCTTTTTTTAAATTTCATTTGAAATATTATTTGTACCTGGTTGAAGTTTAGATTCCTGGTCATATCAATTCATCGCATTTTGTGGTCTGGGAAGAGGAGTTAAATTAATTTTTATTTTGAATATATATATATATATATATTATGCCTAGTGACTTTACTGCGTAATAATATCTACTCCTGCGTTGACGTCCTCAGGTGTACGTGACATCCGAGAGCCGTTTTGCCACCCTGGCCGAGCTGGTCCACCACCACTCCACTGTGGCCGACGGCCTGGTCACCACTTTGCACTATCCTGCACCCAAATGCAACAAGCCCACAGTGTACGGTGTGTCACCCATCCACGACAAGTGGGAAATGGAGCGCACAGACATCACCATGAAGCACAAGCTGGGGGGGGGGCAGTACGGAGAGGTGTACGTGGGGGTGTGGAAAAAATACAACCTGACGGTGGCCGTCAAGACACTAAAGGTTGGTGGTTTTTGTTTCTGTCTATGACTGTTGGAGGGTTATGATATGGGATGGGCAAAATAATGAATATAGGTCGCCATCTGCAGGTTCCCTGCGGTACTACATGGTGCTTCTGCATTTTGTTACTCTTAATGTATCTCTTAAAAAACGTATATTCTCTTCCTTGTACAACAACAGGAGGATACAATGGAAGTAGAAGAATTCCTTAAAGAAGCAGCAGTAATGAAAGAAGTTAAACATCCAAACCTTGTTCAGCTTCTCGGTTGGTGATTTTTTTTTAATCTTTAAATCATCTTAAAGCACAGATTCACTCATATTTACTATGTGAATCATGTAAAGAGGCTGTAGTTCTCTGAAACTCTCATCCATGTTCCACACAGGTGTGTGTACGTTGGAGCCGCCCTTTTATATTGTAACTGAGTACATGCCACATGGGAACCTACTGGACTACCTGAGAGAGTGTGATAAGGAGGAGGTGAACGCCGTGGTGCTTCTCTACATGGCCACGCAGATCTCTTCTGCCATGGAATACCTGGAAAAGAAGAACTTCATTCACAGGTTAGAGGACTCTCATCACTGTATATTTTTCTTTTTGTGCTGATTTTCACTACATTACCTTTGTGTATTGTCCTCTTACCCTGCAGGGATCTTGCAGCGAGGAACTGCTTGGTCGGGGAGAATCATGTGGTGAAGGTGGCAGACTTTGGTTTGAGCAGGTTGATGACTGGTGACACGTACACCGCACACGCTGGGGCCAAGTTCCCCATTAAATGGACGGCGCCTGAGAGCTTGGCCTACAACACCTTCTCCATCAAGTCGGACGTGTGGGGTGAGTGTCTTCAGTAGTGTTCAGTGTTGCCTTCTGTCTTTGTCCTGTTCACTGATCCAATCATGGTTCTTCTGGCTTCTGTGCAGCGTTTGGTGTCCTTCTCTGGGAAATTGCTACATACGGGATGTCCCCCTACCCTGGTATTGATCTGTCTCAGGTCTACGACCTCCTCGAGAAAGGTGACAGAATGGAACAGCCTGAAGGATGTCCACCCAAGGTTTATGAACTCATGAGGGCATGTGAGTAGAAGTTGTCTGGTCAACATTTAAAGCTTTGACTAAGGTGTGGTCAGTGTATTCAGATAATGGTAATAGTGTTCAAATTACCATCTTAACAAATAAATAAAAAAAATCTGTATTTATACAGTACATGTATATTTTAAAATTGTTGCTAAATGTTCCTAAAATAAATGTCAAATGTATTAAAGCACTCCCTGACAATGACACGCGCTCTGGCTTTTCTCCAGGTTGGCAGTGGGGCCCTTTAGACAGACCGTCGTTTGCAGAGATCCACCAGGCGTTTGAAACGATGTTCCATGACTCCAGTATTTCTGAAGGTAGCCAACATGTAGATTGTTGAGTTTGATTACAAGGAGTGTATAAAAACAGGTCCGATGTTGCAAAAAGATTTGACTTTCAATTGAATTTTGAAAGTTCATTCAAGAATTCAATATTTAAAGTGTTACATTAAAAAAAGGTCAAAAGTCAATTTTTTGTCTTTTTTTTTTTTTACAATGCAGAAGTAGCAGAGGAGTTGTGTAAGACTGCCTCTGCTGGTCACTGCGGACCCCTGCACCCTTTCAGCCATGATATGCCCCTGTTGCCTTCTAAATCTCGCCCCCTCCACAAGCACACGGAAAACAAGGAAAACATCGAGGGTGGATTGGACGGGCGCACTGACCACGGCACCCACAGCCACTCAGGTACAGCCAGCTGTCCCGGCCTCACTGCCATCCAGTCACGTGCATCACATTATGATTCTGCAGGTGTCAAGAAGAACGCCACTTCAGACAGTCATCTGCAGCGTCGCCTGGCTCGTCGCCTGAGGAGAAGAGCGGGCATATTTCTCACCAAGTGAGCTTTGGTCCATTGACCAGTTCATTACAGTACATCAAGCACAAAAAACAACTACATGAGAAAAAAAAAAGTTAAAACGGTCTCAAATACTGATGTGTCAGTAGGATCCAATAAAGAATAAAAAAGAGAAAAGTCCCAAAACTCCATCAGCGATCCATCATTTATCAGCTCCAAACAACACAGACACTGAGCTGAATAAAAAGTACTGTAGGTGGACATCTGTCTCATTTGTCTTGTTTTTCATAGAAAATACCTGGGAGAATATACTGTTATTATTATGTAAGGTGAAACATGTAATCATTAGATAGTTTTAGGTTTTACTCTACGGTAGGATTTAGATGGTTATTTTCTTGAAATAAAATTTGTGTCATGTCTGATATTTATTTAATGTCTGTCTGTTTATGTTATATTTATTTCATTTAAATGTTCACTGGTGAAATAAAATGTGTCTTTTTTCTTTGTGTTTAAGGGACAAATTATGTGTTTATGAAGATATACTTTTGAATTGTAATCTATTTATAATCCAAAGATCTATATAAATAATGTCATTACCATTTGACACAGTTTGTTTTAATGATTTTACTGCTGTATATTATTATATATTATAAGAGAACAAAACACCAATGAAAAATGTAGTATAAAAAACTGAGCTGTCGTTAATGTTTTTGTTTTGTTTTTTATTCCTCTTCTCTTTCGGAATATTTATTTGTTTATTTTCTTGGTGATGAAATGTGAACGTAAAATGAATGCATCAAACACTTAACACTTCTGAGACACTTCATCCTCTGTGTTGTCTTTGTATTTTCCTCATGACTGACTTCCTAAGCAGATTAGGAACAACGATAGTTTGATGATGTAGTCACTAGTAATTAAAACCTGTCCCTAAAACCTCATTATAAATGACATTCCTTATTGTTGTTTTGCTGAGTTTAGTTCATTTTATTAATGTTGGTTTTTAATCGATGTCTTTCTCCTTTCGTCAGGCTGGGCATCGTTGATAGGAGGTAACGGACGAGCGGGCAGCTCGCCGGCGTTGCCCAGAAAACAGCAGCCACGAGATAAATCCCCCAGCAACCTTTTGGAGGATGCACAGGACATGGGCACATTCACAAGAGACCGCAAGACTGGATTCTTCAGCTCCTTCATTAGGAAGAAGTCCTCTTCGTCTTCCTCGTCCCCAGTTTCTTCCCAGCTCCAACAGAACCTCCCCACGCCCCCCAAAAGGAGCAGTTCTTTCCGGGAAATGGAGACACAACCCCACAAGAAATATGAGCCAACCGCTGATTTCAGCGCTCCTCCTCTTCCTTTGCCCCAGTCGGACAGTTTAGGAGGTTTCTCTGCTTCTCCTTCCCACTCGCATGGAGAACCCAGCCAGACTCAGTCACGCTGCTGTGGAGCAGCCTTTGGACAGAAACCTTCTAGTGGAGGCCTTAGTTCACAAGGGACGAGTGGGAGCAGTTGGGGGGGGTTGGCCGGCTTTTTTACACCCAGACTCATCAAAAAGACCCTGGGTCTACGGACAGGAAAAACGGTCTCTTCAGAGGAGGGTGGTAGTATAGCTGGAGGGCCTAAACCCTTCCCTAGGTCTAATTCTACCTCCTCCATGTCAGCCGGACTGCCAGACCTGGAGCGTATTTGTCTCACTTTACCCAGGAACCGCAGTGCCAAACCCCCTCTGGAGAGAACTGCCTCCACAACCTCCCAGCCAGAGAATGGGGCTGCGAGGCCCTCGGAAACTCTGCTGAGAAGAATGGACGAGGGCACGGCACAAATCAGGGAACGGCCCAAAGCCAAGCTGCTGCCCAGAGGCACTGCGGTAGGGATGAGGGCACCAGGAGTTGGGGGGGAGGTTGCTGATTCAGACGCTCTCTCCCGGCTGAGGGAGAGTAAAGAGGAGAGTGGGATCGGACTGGACAGACAGCAGAGTTGGTCGTCTCCCTCTAAGAACTCCAGTTCCAGCGCGTCCTCAGCTGCTGTCGGTGCACAAACTCACAACCACAAAGTCCCTGTTCTCATCTCCCCCACTTTAAAACACAACCCGGCCGATGTGCACCTGGTGGGTCTGGACTCTCAAGGGAATCGATTCAAACTTCTCACAGAGCACCTAACAGACCGGGACAAGCCGCGACTTGTGAAACCCAAATGTGCTCCCCCTCCACCCCCCACCCTGCGCAGCCTGCAACACTCCTACAGCGGTGACGGAGAGGAGCAGGTAGGAGGTGTGCCTGCTGAAGTGAACGGAGACACGTTGAAGGGACACAGATCGGGGAGAATGTCAGGAGGAGCGTTGACTGGCAGACCTTCTGTGCCACCACCACAAGTGCCTCCTGCGTCCTCTGCCACCGCCTGCACAACCGCCACCAAAATGGCAAACGGAGCCCCCACCACTGCCTCGTCCCCGCACACCGCGCCGTCCGCGGGTTCCAAAGCGGTCCTGCGGCGACCCAGGCAGCAGGTGGAGAAGATACCTTTGGAGCGGGTCAGCCGCGAGGCCCTGCTGGAGTGCGCCGAGTACCTGAGCAGCGCCCTCCAGGCCAGCTCCGAGTGCTCCTCCAGCAGCCAGGTACTGGACGCTGGCCACCAGCTGCTAGACTACTGCTCAGGATATGTGGACTGCATCCCTCAAATGAGGAACAAGTTTGCCTTTCGAGAGGCAGTGGGAAAGCTAGAGCTCAGCCTGCAGGAGCTGAGGGCTTCGTCTTCAGGGGGAGGACTGAGCAGCACGGGGCCCAACGCTGTACTGGATAACCTGCAGTGCTGTATCAAAGAGATTAGTGACGTAGTGCAGAGGTAGCCACTGTGACATCACAACCACCCTAACAATCCAACAGATCCTATATATATATATATATATTTGCCTTTTTATCTGTCCAGTTCTGCCAACAACATTTTCAAGGGGCTGAATCTCTGAATCTCTAAAGTACCTCAGAGAAAAGATATCTTTTATTGTTTACAAACACTTTCACGAAATGCCAGTGTGGACGCTAACCTTGCTCTGAATTGTACATATTGAGAGATGTTTATACTGAACTAATTATGACAAAGAAAAGTTTGGACATGATGGCTGTGATGATAACTGTCTTCTCGTACATTGAATGTGGATCAGCTGTGTGTAGCCAGTCTGGAGAGTAGGTCACACTCCCTCTGCTAATCAGTCAGTCACAAAACGGAACAAGAATGACGGAAATTGTGTCATATTCTCTGGGCAGAACAGAGATACAACACTACTGCTTGTTCTGACTTCATCTCATGTAAGATTTCACAAATAGGTGAATCAAGAGGGTGACTTCATCTCATGTAAGATTTCACAATTAGGTGAATCAAGAGGGGTTTTTGTTTTTGTTTGTTGATTTTTTTTTGCTCAGTTTCTGGGAAATTTGATTGTAATTTTCCAGTTATAGAAGCCATCTGGGGTCCCAAGTTCATATTTTTAGTTTTTTGATTTTTTTTTTTAAAGTTTTGTTTGTACTTAATTGTTTGCAGACGGTGTGTAATTTTCAGTGCTTGCGAGTTTTATCTCTCACCTGAACTGCTTGTTTTCTACTTAATGCAAGTCTTGTTTTCAGGACAAATCTTAAGAGTAATTTGCTGTTTTTAATCATTTACATTCCCAAAAAAAAAAACGGTGAGACCATTGAATAATATTGAGGGGATCACCAACAACTCTGAAACACTTTGACAAACCTGTAAATATGCCAGACAACCAGACAAATCACTTTAACCTGAGCTAAAGTTCAACCATAAAAGGACTAATCTTACAGTTTACTGACCGTAGCACTGTTACAGAACAGTCAGAAAAAAAAATCAATGACCTTTTTATTCTAACAAAAACACAGTCATCCGTTTATTCAGTCTTATGTGAATCCATCCCAACTGTTACTAAGCCAACATTTGAAGCACACTAGTTACTGCAACATGAACAACGAGACATCGTTGTTGTGTTAATTAAGTCAGTTTAAACCCAGGCCTTTTCACAGGCGTTCACTCACCTCCGTCTGTTTCACTCACTCACACCGTTGCTGGTTGTCCCGTCTCAGCTTAGTTCGTCTGAAGGTCAACAATTTTGCGCAACCATTCCACGTTATTTGGTGATAGTCTAAACAACAAGCTGGAGTAAGATAGAGCAACACTGAGTGACCAGAGCAACACTGAGTGACCAGCTTCTGGTTCCAGGAGCAAGAAGCTTTGGCTTTAGCTTTCACAGTAGTCAAACAAAAAAAAAAGCATACACACTGTGTTCTTTCAAAGAGTTGGGATGTTTTTACAAAGCAATTGTGAGTTGTTTTTGACTACACTGAGAGACGAACACAGTCTGCTCCGACAGTCAGACAGAGTTCTGAGAAACTGACAGATGTGACATCTTCGATGGATAAATCAGTGGTTCTCAAACGACTTCTGTTGAAGTATCTGCTGTGTGCGCAGTTATTGGTTCAAAACTCCATCAAATTTAAAAAAAAAATCTCTACAAAACTGCTGTTCACATTGAACAAAGAATAAAATTACGATCTAGTGCAGTTTCTCAGCCGTGGCTTCATTGGCCCTGTCGCACCCCTGGATGGAATCACTGGACCAATCACTGTCCTTTTTTATTCTGTAGTGATGGTATTTGGTGACCTGAACACGAGCACTACCTGCTTGATTTTTTTTTAATTTTTTTTTATCTTGCACAGTACCACAAACGTGAAAAAAAACAAAAAACATTTCCCGTAAAAAATCATTTCAATATTTTTTCCTTCTATTCTCACAAATAGTGTGGTCATGGATGAACAAGCATTACATTTTGGGGTGAGCAGACGGAAAGAACACAGGGTAGCACATGTGCAGGTGAACTGGGACAGTGTTTCTATAAGTGTCCTTCTGAGTATGGACAGTGCTGGATTCCCTGTAGCCTTGTCACGGCCTCAGTGCCTCACATTCTTCAGTGTGTGAACACTATAATAATGCAGAGACCTACTTTACCTTTTCACACAGTACTGATCTCTCAACACACAAAACTGCAGTATGTCTTGAGCACATGAGCAATTTGTACATTATTTGGTTCAAATGTTATGTATTAGCTTGAATTTTAAATTATTGTTTTTTTTATTATAAGCACAGAGCTATTTTGAAAAAAAAAAGAATGTAAATATTTGATTTTTTGTCATATCCTGGAACAAAAAAGATTTATGTGTGGTGACAGAATAAAAAGCGATGTGTTTGACTGCAGAGATGTATGATAAGGCCCATTTACCCAGACCTGAATATTTACTTTAAGAATGTAGTATTCTTCAATTCTGTACTTGGCCGAATGTTCATCTTTGTGACTCTTTAATTTATTGTTCTACATACCTTCTATTGGCCAATAGTTCTAATTTTGCTAATGCTAAAAAAACAAACATCATAATCCATAATCAGCTGCTCTGTTTTAGAACAACAAACAAAGTGTGTAGAGTGCACAAGGACACGGAGATGTTTCTTTAACAATTGTTTTTTTTTTCTTTTCTTCTTTCTTTACACTGGATAAGACACGTCAGGTCATCGACACATCTCGTCACAAAGTTTGTTCCTTAAACACTGCAGGCCCATTTCTGGTGTTGATAAGTTTCCATGTTAGACCTTTTTGGTGCGTATCATGTTACTGTCACAAAAATCTCTCTCTTTTTGTCAAATGGTATGTTTTTAATCACAGGCGAACAGTGATATTTGACTGTGCATTGTACAAAAAAAAAAAACATGGCTCACTTTTGTTGTAAATGAGTCTTGTGCCTTTGTGTGGATACATACAGTGTGCAGTCACAGTATCACCAAACACAGTCACAAAAACGCCAAAGTTCTAGACTGTGATTAAGACAATACAATACATTATCTCCTGTTTGCCATAAGACACACGTTGTCTATCACTACAACATTCTCTTCTGTCATTTGAAGAGCCTGCTGCACACTAAACTGATCATTTGTCAAATGAAATGCCTGTAACATTTGGTTTGCCAACTGCCTAATTGAAGACACCTGCTTGAGTTAATTGTAGTTTGTTTTTTATGGAACAGGTTTCCAACACAATCCTTACAATTAGTTCAATTAACACAACCTTTTAGTATTAAAACAGTTGGGTTTTTTTACAGTTTCAGGTTTGTTATTGTTATCAAGTGTTGTTAAAATTTTAAACTGACCTAATTTCTCCTCCTTGTCAGTCTTCTGCAGTGCCTCCATGTTGCCTGAATTTATTCTGTATTTTTTTCCCCCATTTGTCTCCCTGTTTTTGGAGATACTCTCTGGAGAATGTGTACACAATATACCAAAGGCCACTTCTTCAGTTAAGTGCAATGTAAATCCACACTCACCCACAGAGACAAAACAAAATGGAATATGTGAGTCTAAACAGGGATGCAAGTTGCAGAGATGTTAACATTAACTTTTTTTTTATCCAACAATATATATTTTGTGTTTTTTTTATTTAAAAGCTCACACTATATTACTGTGAAGTTCTGCTTGTCAGTGTTAAGTCTATTGTAAATAATAAAGATATTGATAAATCCTGACTTGATACAAATGTGTGTGTATGTGATGAACGGGAGTTGTATCAAAGTCACATTCAAATTTGTATTGTAACTGTTGAAGCAATCAATATATTTTAAGAGAACATATATTTACAGAATTCCACATATTTAGTATTACATTATCATATAGTTGTAATTCTAAAGATGAAGTTTGCATTATTGTTCCTTTTTTTATACTCGTCACTAATGGGATTCTACGTTCTATGTCAACAGTTATCAATATTTGATAAAATTAAAAATAATGTCAACAGTTATCAATATTTGATAAAAATTATTTAAAAAAAACACCTGCGCTTCCCCCACGGCAGCAGCACTGTGGCTGTGTCGCTGTGACGCCAGGTTACTCCATATCCGACTCCGCCCTAACCGTAGCCAGTCGTAAAGATGGCGTCCATCATGGAGGGACCGCTAAGCAAGTGGACGAACGTCATGAAAGGGTGGCAATATCGTTGGTTTGTGTTGGACTACAATGCCGGCTTGCTCTCTTACTACACGGTACGTGAATCCCTTTGTTTGTACGCGCCAAACAGAGCCGCTTAGGCGGTTATAGAGACTCTTAAGTTGCCGCTGGGTGTCATGTCGAGTGGGAGTAGGGCCCTGTCTCAGCTGATACAAAAAGGCGGGTCCTCACAGTGACGGACCTGACCGTTGACTAATAGCGATGGGCCTCCCTGCCATCTGACCAATCAAGTGTCTCCGGTTTCTTTCTACTTCCGTATATGCAGCTAGCTTTCCTTAGCTAACAGCAGAAATGACACAAACACACCCAAAATAATGCTTCGTTCAATATACAAACCACGAAGTAAAACGTGTATTATATCATTGATTTCGTTAAGTGTCTGCGGGAGTTGTTGGACCGTTAGACCAAACGCTAAAGATACTTCGTAGGAAAAAAGAGACTGCCAATTGTAAGTTGTTTTTTTGTTGTTGGAACGTTGCATTGATTAGTGTAAAATAACGACATGCCTACAGTCAGTTTGGAAATATAGTTGTCCTTATTCTGGGTAAACCATATTACTGCATTTGATTGTGTTGTGCTAAACGCATTTGGTTTCACTATAAGCATGTAAGGCAATACAATAAATAATCGTGTTATTTCGAAATGTGATGCAACGCCCGAAGTGATCACTGTGGTCAAATATGCTCCTTAGATGTATGTAAAAAAAAACCTTAATACCTGATATGCTCCTTAGATGTATGTAAAAAAACCCTTGATAGTTAGTTTTTTCTGATCCAAGTTACTAAGAATATTTAACATGCAGAATCCAGCTTAATAAATGGCCCAATATAGCATATAGCTCTGGTTTTTTTTTTAGAGTTTTAACCCTTCACTAGTGATGTATCATAACCCTAACATTACACCACTAAACACTAATGAACACTGTTCACCAGTTCTGCACATTTCCCAACACTTACTAGCATGATTTACAATAGCTAACTTAGGCAAAGGTCACCATGACTTCATTTCAATTGATACAGTGACTGTGTCCATTGAAATGAAGTCGTTATCAGTGTTTAGTAAATGATACCATTACAGTGGTTTCAACAGTGCTTCTTCCTCCAGCCAATACAATTATCTTTATTTACTCCTAAATATTTTAATTCCATAAAACTAAAATGAGCCTATTGTCTGTTTTTGCAACAACAACTTACAACTACTCATTTGTTCTGTCATTTGCAGTCAAAGGACAAAATGATGCGGGGTTCCAGAAGAGGCTGTGTCCGACTCAGGGTAAGAACCCAAGTTGTGAACATTGTATGGACTGTATGCGAAGAACACATGACATCACAGCTGTGTTTACAGAAGTAAAAAGCAAGCTCTTGTCTGGGGAGCAAGTCACACTTTGGCAATTGTTTTAGTTCCACTGAATTGCTCATTTAATCTACTATTAATATTTGCAATGTACCCTGGCTATGGAAAATAATTTTGGCATCTATCTAATTAGCCACATATGAAAGTGGCCTGTGTTGGTTTTTAAAAAATGGATTTCTATTCCTCACTTATTTACTTTGTTTTACTAACAAATATAACATCACATATGGGCAAAAAACGGGTTGTGCCACTTTTGCCTGCAGTAAATGGAGCCTTAATGATTTTTTGTTCTGTACATAGTAATGACCACTAGATGGAAGCAGTTGACTCTGTGGTTCCTGCACTTGTCCTGAATAATCACTACATAAATAAAGGTTCTATTTGCAGGAAGAGCAGACAATATATGTCTGGAGTGGATCTAACATTTTAAAAATAGGAGACACAACTTTTGATTGTAATTTTTATTTGCACAAATTATAATAAAACATTAATTGTCCTGTAACACCAGATTTGACCTGTTCTATGATTTTGTTAAATATGTAACATTAATTGTCCTGTAACACCAGATTGATGAGACAAAGCCTGTTGAGGAAAAGAGGAAATTACAGAACCTGCAGTTAACCTTCACAGAGCAGAAGTAAAAGCATCTCAATCCAACATAATGTAAAGGTCAGCGTCCTGACCGCAAAATATGAACCACTGAGCTATGGTTAGTATGAAACAGCCAGTAGAAAATGTACAAACAAATGTAAGAGATCAACACGAAGATGACATTATATTAAACCATTCTGTAAAGCTCAGATAAGGTGAAGTCATGTCTGGTGCTTTATTAGTGGTGATGTAACTCAACGGATTCACGATGGCAGAAAAACTGCTGTGAACAAAAAGGGAAAAGGTTTGCGACTGGCTCCGTCCAACGTAGATAAACATAACAGTATTTTACCCTGTCTTGAAAAGGTGACCTTTATGAAAAGGAATAGGTGGTAAAATGTGAAAAACAGAATGAAATACATCGGCCCCTCTGGTACAAGAGTAACGAACTCTCCTCCCTCTCGGGAGAACCAGTGTTTGGTTGCTGTAACGTCTGCCTTTGGGATTTGATATTTTTCTGTTCTTTAAAGTTAAAATGCTCCTCTTCATCTATGATGAAACCCTTCTCACTGTGTCCCTATTTGGTCACAAGTGGAAAAGACATGTTAACACATCAGTGTTGCATCATCAGACTCTCCCTGTACATGTTATTGTCAACTCCATGACATCTGCATGCCTGGTGTTCCATAGTGATGTGTGACACAAACGTCCCATGAAATAAAAAAAATAAAAAAAAAAAAGCACAAGTGAAAGAAACCTGTTCTGAGGCCTTACCTTACGGCAGAGGAAGTATCTCCTGAAAGTACCTAATAAGAGGATGCACTATTGTTCTCGCAAAGGTCACAGGTTTCAGGACAATAATAAAAAAAATAATCTGGTTCTGAACATTTATTGTTATATTTTTTTTAAATTTAGCCTGAATTCCGTTTCATTACTATACAATAACTTACTAAAATGGTAAAAGTTTAAGTGGTTATGAATGGGACTTCAAAATTCACTTTGTTATGATAAAACATTTACAATTCATTATAAATAAAGCTAACTGGTTTGTGGAACTTCAACCTGTAGACCTGAAGTTGAAACCTCCACAGATGCATGCTGGGTGTTTAGATGTTCAGGTGTTTTTGTGAAATTAAACATTTTTCTCTGTGGATGGGAATTATCTGTGTAATTCATTCTTCCCGTTACATTTAATTTTTAATCTGATTGATTTCAAAAATCGATTATTACTGTTAACGTTCCAGGTTTGACAGCTTTTATTGTTAGTATTTAACACCGTAAGTATCACCCCAACATATATCGGCTCTCTTTTATTTTATTACTCTATTACACCATGTAATTTATTGCAGACCCAGTGGTTTGTGGATTTGGGTGTATAAGGAAGCTGTGAGTCATACACCCTGCTTCTGTTGCTAGGAGTAATTGCCCCAGTCAACAGCCAGGCCAGTATCTCTGCAGTCGCCTGCTCGCTGCTGCTCCCCAGGGTCTCTATCCCTCCTCCCAGCCCTGCCGCTCTCCCTTTTAACTCTACCGCCTCCCTCCACTATCATGTAAGACTGAAACCATACGAGCGTGAGTGTGTGTGTATGTATGTGTGTGTGTGTGTGTGATTGTCAAAAGGTGCTGTGGCCAAAGATAGAGAAAGATGGATTGAAGGTAGATTATAGATGACACTGGATGACAATGCAGCAGGAACATGAGGAAGGCATGAGGGGAAAATCCAAAAGTGGAGTATGACGTGTCCTCTCTCTCTTCCCCCCCGCCCCCCACTCTCTCTCACTCTCTCTCTCTCTGTGCCTAGGGAGCTGTGATCGGCATTGATGACGAGGACGACAGCACCTTCACGATCACTGTGGACCAGAAGACTTTCCATTTTCAAGGTGAGCTGCTCTCTTTAATTATGCCCTCTGTAAACTCACCACCTTTTCTTTGTTGTCATTTTCTTTTGCATCTCTTTTTTCTGTCCTTCCTTGCTGTATTTTTGGTCCCTCACTTATGTTCTTTCTGCCTTCTTCCTTCTCTCTCTCCAGCTCTCTCTATCTCACTCTCTATCTCTCCCTCTCTCACTCATGCCTTTCTCTCTCCCCACCTTTTTAAGACTTGGATTGGTCTGCTCTAACTGCAGGAAACACATGCACACAGGCATTCAAACAATGTCAAAGCACACCGTGCGCATTCTTGCCTCCTTTCCAATGGATGCGCTCCAAAAGCTGAGACGTTGGAGTGAAATGTATTTCTGTTGATAATCAAAATTTAGCTCCACTGCAGGCTAAACAAATTCCTCTGGAACTGAACGAGCAAGTAAGGCTTTTTTTTTTCTCCTGATTGTGGCTGAGGAGGAAGACTTCCGTGTGCAGACGAGCCTCTGGGAATAATAAGGGAATACTGCTGACTTGGAAGCTGAGCTTAGATTCTTTTGTTACTTCTGCCGTTCGCCCTGGGTTACACCGCTGCCGTCGCTCACGCTTTACTTCGTAGGGACAGGATTGGCTCGGAGCTACAGCATTACCCCCCCTCCCTCCTGTCCTTCCAGCACTTCCCTCCTTTTTGACAGGGAGCTGTCCAATCCAGCACAGCACAGTT